ATAATAGTGAGTCAGTGACATTTTTTTTTGCTATCTCTCTTTGTTTTTATTCCCATTGAAGTCAAACATTTTTACCCATCACTCCAAGTTTGCCAGTGCCTTTTTTTTTATTAAGTTGTCACAGTTCATGCTGCTAGCAGTTACAGCATAACTGCAAAGCTACAGAAGGATCTGAGTGAAACCACATGTCCGCTGACTCTTTCCCATGAAAGACAGTCTCGTTTATTGTGTGTTGAGATTGGTGAGGAAGGACAATGACAGCAAGATTTCAAAACACGGTCACTCTCATAAGATACTGACTGCTCCTCTCGGGTTCTGTTGCCAGCCGATGCAGAAAATTGTACTTGGAAATGTGATAGATTTTGTAACTTGTTTGTTTATTAGTGCTATCCAGGACATTCCACCTCATGGATTTGAAAATTATGCTTTAACTACGACAAGATTGTACTATTAGTTATATTCTTGCAGCTTTTATGTCAGAGTTAATAAGCTGCGGTCAGTAGGGGAATCTATATCTGATGACTCCATGTTTTTCATGAACGTAAAGAATTAAGTTGGTGACTTTTCTCTGCAAAGTATGTAAGATAGCATTAATAAAAGTGCCAATCTCATTTTGGTCAGAGGCAGTTGGGACACCAGCTTAAAGTGCTCGTCTTTACATCCACCCGAGAAGGCAGATTCATGTCTCATCTGAAAGGCAACACTTCCACAGTATGTTGTGTGGAAGCTTTAAGAGCCTGGAGCAACCTTGGCTGATGTCACAGAGCTGCTCCTCACAGTACATAAATAGCACAGTGCGAGCAGAGTTAAAAGGAAAGAGAGAAACCCATAGAGTTTGTGGAACAGTCTTTTAGTATATATCTGTAAGACAAGAGCCTGGTATTTCTCTGAAAACCATGTATTGTATTATTTAGTTTGAATATATGGGTGGTGCTATAATGAAGCCCAAACCTAAAGACAATTTTTGACCTTGCCTTCTCCTCCACCAGTCTGTCTTAAATTTAAACTCTTGGTAGTGGGCAGGACGCAACACAACTAATCTGCAGTTCCTACTATCTCTAAAGAAGTACTAGTGGCGTGTTAGCCTGGATAATGCGCTGAAGTTTCTGGAATGGGACTCAGAAGTGAAATTGCTATTCACTGAATCTGAGTCTCACCCAATCCACACAATCCACACAATAAATTTCTCTACTTCACCGAGTAGCAATCAGGAACAGGAACCCCAGGTGACTTTCCCTCAGTGTGTAGGCCAATCACAGTGCCTCACTACTACATTGGCTGACATCATCCAACTTTGCACTGTCCCCTGGATTGAGGTTCAGATCTTTATGATCCGTTTGGTTATATAGCTACTTGTTAGATAAACTCACTGAGCTACTATCATGCCAAATAAAATAATGTCATGTTGAATAAAATGTCATTTCTGTTTACATTTATATTATTTATTAAAAGTTGCTTTGTTAACAGTTTTTTGTATTGCTGGGTCAGGCACATATTTTGTCAGATATTGCAATTTGCTGTTCCCAGAATATTGAGAGGATTCCTTTTGTGCTCTAGGTTCATTGGTTACCTAAAAGCACTGAATAAATAGAAAATCCATGTTAATTGAGCAATGGCTGGATAAATCTGAAATAGATTGTGATTTTAATATATAAATGTTTAACTTATTATACAACCATCCTTCTATTAGCTTTTTGATGGACGTATTAACTGGTTTATTTATACCCTAATTAATACTTTATTAGGAATAAAGTACTGCTATAATCAAAACTTAACCAATATATCACAACCATTTGTATGTTGATGTCTTACAAGTTAATAACCTACACTGGCTGTTTAGAAACTAAATTCAGCACCAAGCACACATCTTGCCTCATTGACAATAATGTCCAACTAGCATGTACTATCATCTCCTTTACATGTATCTCCATCACATCCACCCTCCATCAGATGGAACTAAGGCATCAACCATTCCTTAGCATTGATCCTTTCGTCTCTGAGTCTGAAGATTAAGAGTTCAGGCCCTGCAATGGAGATTTAAGCTTTCCTTCCAATGCAGTCTTTAAGAAGTTACTTTTGCATAACTGAGGCCCCATATGTTCCCTCAGTTGCGTATAAGTGATCCTGTACACTATTTTGAAGACGACCAGGGGGGTTTGCCTCAGCGTCCTGGGAGTTTGTACTGTACAAATTAGACTGCCAAGTTTTCCATATTACAACAGTGACTACATTTAAAAAGTACAGCATTGACCAGAAAGAGCTTTGGGACATCATAAGGTCATGAAAGCTTCTATAAAAATGCAGTGCTTCCTTTTCTTTCTCATAAACATAAAATTGCAAATGTGAGCACATTATATAAATGCTAATACAGCTCTACATCAGATGGTTTTGTACTCATCAATTCGACAAACATCTGGATTATTAGTTAATGAAAGCAGTAATATTTGAGCCAATCTGTGAAGCAATGTCTGATTTCCCACATCAGTCAGCCAAGTTCAAAAACATATAAGCAGTTTGGCAACAATGAATGGCAAATTTCAATGTTTTACTCAGTAAACGATTAGAAATAAATTTGCACTTGAAATAAGAATCATCAAAATCAGAACCAAAACAGTGATTCATGAACACTGTGACTGACGAATGTTCATTAGTTATCCACATGAACTGAATGAATAGAAAATCCATGTTAAGGGAGCCAATGGTTGGATAAATCTGAAATAGATTGTGATTTTAAGATATACATGTTTAACTTATTATACAACCACCCTTCTATCAGCTTTTTGATGGACTTACTAACTGGTTTATTTAAACCCTAATTAATACTTGTTAGGGATAAAGGACTGCTATAATCAAAACAACCAATATACCATAATCATTTATAAGTTGATGTTTTACAAGTTAGTAATCAATTTATCGATGATATGTTCTATGTTTTGTTCAGTATTAAAACATTCATATTGATAGCTCATGATTCTAGAGGCATTTAAAACTAACAAATAGCAATCTATCATTGATTGTAGGGGTACAGTTTAGCCCGTACTGTACATTTTTGGCAACTGATCCTTGTCAACAACATAAGCAAAGCAGCCAAACATTTAGGTTTGGCATGTAAAGCTGAATGGGTATCTTAACAACTCCCAGATTGCATCAGCCATAGACAAGGCGCTTATGCAACCACTCTGAGTACTGCAGTTCTGCTGGGTTTTAGCTTCTCACCCATTCAAATGAAGCACCATAATAAAGTTGAGTGGGTGTACATGCAACTCCTTAATGCTCTCTGGTTACATTCTGAGCACCAGTCGATCTCACTCCTTGGTTTTAGAGTGGGAAACTAGTTATTCTGTGCATTCACTTTTAGGCCAGCAAGGCAGATGCTTATATGTCTGTATCTTAACATGTACTTACAGTTGTGTGTGTGAACCTCAACATGTGTTCATCAGAGTTCTCTGTGTGTACTTTGCGATGTGCAATAGAGGTAGGTTTAGGGTCCATATGTGTGTCTAAATGTGTGTTCAGAGTTTCCTGTGCATATATGTCTTAACATGTGTAATCAGGATTGTATATATAGATGTTAACATTTGCTCAGGTATCTGTGAATACGTACGCAAGTTGGCACAAAGATGGGCTAGTTCCTCATCCAGTATATTTTGCAATATCATGCCAAACTTTTCTGACAATTATTTTACAGTTTTGGAGTCTGTGCATTGTGCAAAGCACTATGTGCAGTATAACTCCACTCTCATGCATTGCATCCCAGGTTGAAACATGATCAAATCCTGGAATAACTCAGCCTTTCCTATATCCTCTACACAACCACCTTTACAAAAATCAGTGAACAGAATATTTTGTGAAAGGTCGGGTGACAGTTTTAATCCTCCTTAATCTGTAGTTTACAGTGCAAATGCAAAATAATCCAAAATAAGCAGTAGCCCAAGTGGTACAATTAAGCTGCATATTTTAAGCCTCACATTACTCAGTCATCACTATTAACTAATAGCCTGGGCTGTTACAACTTGCCCAGTATTCCTTGCAGAAAAAGCTGTCCAACAACACTGTGAAACCACTTAGAATCCAATTTAAGAAGCAGATTCCCTATCAGAGGACAGATTTGAACAAGGAATGCATGATTAAGTTATTAACACCATGTGCTGTTGACTAGAGAATGATTTATCTAACAGCCATGCATACATTTTTTAACTGTCTTATGATCTATTATGTTAAAAACAATGCCAGGCCTCATTGCTTTAACATTTTTGCATATAACCCAATGTTAATTAGTGATGATTTGTTACCAACCTGTATGTTGAGTTGAACAATTTAAATAGATTGCTGTGAAGTTAATCTATCTGGAACATGAGGCAGCTTCTAGTTCCACTTAAGCAAAGTATAATGATGGACCTGAACTGGTGTGCATCAATGTTCCTTCATCTTCACAAACTGCTTACCTTCAGACTATCTCATCTGCAATCTTTCCATTTGCTCCCATTGTGACCTCTATGGGCTGTGTTCTATTGAGGGCCTACCCCTTCTGAACACATGTGTCTATTAGCTCTGTGTTTCTACACACTTTAAAATTAAAGTTTAATACCTTGGGCTCTCACAGTCAATCATATGATTGACTAATCCATTTGTTTTCTACCTATTTCAAAAACATTAAGAGGCTGACAGATTAAGATGATTGTTTAGTGCTGATGGCGAATTGGCAACATGGCCTTTGCACTATGGAGTTCTGTTCCCTGAGAGCAGAATTGGGAGTACTTAAATTGATTTCAGTGTTGACCCTTACCACGCGTCAGAGACACAGCTCACCTTATCTGTTTGAGCTGGTTTACAACTCAGGCCCCCTTCATAAATATCTAATGATGCACAGCTGTAATGCAGTTGCAATATAGTCAAATAAATATCGACTACGCATGTCATCCCACATTTCGTAAAAAGAAATATTGATTTTAATGACACTATTCCTTTCATTTGATTTTCATAATGTTTCTTTATTGTAGTAATAAGTGAATCACAAAGGCTGCAACTGGAAATGGCAAAATATTCCTCTCGATTTGCTTTGGCCCTTTTCTATGAGGCTGGCACACAGATTGGTGTCCCCTGGGCCGCAAAGTACATCATCGATAATCCCTGCATACGGTTCATCTCCATCGACAATAAGAAACGCGGTTCAGGTCAGTGCTGCTGTTAACTTTCCTGATAGCACAAAGGGCTAACATTTCAAAAGCATTTTAAGAGCAAACATTTCATGGGGGAATTCCATTGCAATACTTGATCAACACCAGGTTGCAGGCGATTAACTGTACTCTTACTTCAGTCAACTGTCTATGAATGTAAAAGATCATGATGTGGAGGTGCTGGTGTTGGACTGGGGTGGACAAAGTCAGAAGTTACATGACACCAGATTATAGTCCAACGGATTTATTTGAAACCTGTTGGATTATAATCTGGTGCCGTGTGACTTCTGACAATGTAAAAGATGCATGGCAGTATTTGAAATAGGATAAGGAAGCTCTCCCAGCAATTCTGGCCAATATTTATTCCTCAACAGACACCTAAGACTGATTATCTGTTCATTATCTATTAGGAAGGAAATATTAATAATGAATTTAAAAAAGCATGGTGTGATCTTAGAGAGTCAATTGTTTGACAGATTTATGAGAGTTTTTTGAAGATTGTTTTTACTAGTAAGGTAGATAAAAGGAGAAGCAGTGGATGTAATGTATTTGGATTCCCGATACATGTTTGGTCTGGTGCAACACAAGATGCTAAAAAACAAGGCTTACGGAGCTATATTAGCATGAATAGAAGATTGGTTAACAGGCAGGAAGCAAATTGTAGAGATAAATGGGGCACTTTCAAGTCAGCAGGCTGTGATTGTTGGAGTATTGAAAGAATCTGTGCAAGCACCTCAGCTACTTACCATCTATATTAACAATTCAGACAAAGTGATATAGTAATGGATCTAACTTTGCTGATGATACAAAAAGCTAGGTGGGAATGCAAGTTGTGAGGTGGATACAAAGAAGCTGTAAAGAGATGCACAAGGTTGAGTGAGTGGGCAACAAGGTGGCATATCACGGTATAATGTGAAGAAGTGAGGTTATTTAGTTTGAACTGAAAACTGAACTGAAAAGCTATTTTTTAAAAGACATGAAACAAGTAAGTATTGAAGCTCAGAGAGACCTGTGTGTACTTGTGCAAGAAACACAAAACTTTAGCCTGTAGATAAGCAGTTAGGAGAACAAATGCAATGTTGGCAAGGGAATTGGAGTACCAGAATAAAGCAACCATGCTATTTTTATACAAGACTTTGATGAGACCACACCTAGAATATTGCACACAGTTTTTGTCTCCATATTTATGGAAGGATATACCTGCTTTGGAACTAATATAAGTGAAGGTTCACCAAGATGGTTCCTGGGATGAAAGAGTTGCCCAAAATGAAAGGATGAGCAAACTGGGCCAATATACTTTAGAGCTATGAAGAATGCAAGGGCTTCTCATTAAAACATTTAAAATTCTGAAGGAATTCAATAGGGATACTGAGAGATTGCTTCCCCTTGATGAGGGCATTTGGAACAAGGGCTCACAGTTTCAGGATAAGGGGACGATCATTTAGGGGAGAGATGAGGAAAAATTTCTTCACTCAAAGGCAGTGAGTCTTTGCAATTCTTCACCCCAGAGTGTTATGGATGCTACATTATTGAATGTATTTAAGGTTGGGAAAGACAGATATTTGGTCTCGAGGGGCATCATGGGATATGGGGAACAGGCAGGAAGTGGATAGAGACAACAAGGTGCAGAGCTGGATGAACACAGCAGGCCAAGCAGCATCATAGGAGCAGAAAGGCTGACGTTTCTGACGGTTCTGAAATAACCCCCTTCCCCTCCCCCATTTCTGATGAAGGGTCTAGGCCCGAAACGTCAGCCTTTCTGCTCCTATGATGCTGCTTGGCCTGCTGTGTTCATCCAGCTCTGCACCTTGTTGTCTCAGATTCTCCAGCATAGGAAGTGGATAGAGTTGAGCACAAGATCAGCCATGATCACATTTAATGGTGGAGAAGATTTCATGGGTTGTAGAGTCTATTCCTGTTTTTATTTGTTATATTCTTTGTCAGAGTCAATCTATCTATGATGACATAAATAGTTCACCTACTTTTTGTCTTATTGCTCTGTCCAGAATCCCCTGAAGTCGGACCTTCCATAATTGTTCACACTACAGTTCAGTTTGGAGCTCAAAACGTGCAGAAAGATAAGGAAGAGGTAGAACCTCTCATCCTCAGCCAGCTACAACAGATTCTGCCAGGATTGCCCAAGTCTGTTGGCATCAAGTGTCACAAATGGAGATACTCGCAGGTAATTCTGATCACAATAGATCTGTGTCCTGAGCAAACAAAAACCGCGATTCTATTTCGACGCTTGGGAAGTACAACAAAAGGCTCGGGTATGTTTCAAGAGGAATGGATTTGAGCCACGTTTTCATTCTGATTTCAGCATGTTCAAACAGAAAAGGCCTTAAAAGGCGATAAATAGAAATAGTCATTGCAGTCTCCTAATTGGCATCCACTTATTAAGCCATTACATTAATTTCAGCCATATTTTGTTGTATGATAGAAATTTTGCCAAATGGTTAATGTAGCCAAGTTTGAACCACATTAATTAATAGCTATTTGTATTTTGCTTTTTCTTACTAACACAGTGTCAATCATTCATTCTTCACTGGTTGAACAAAGTTGCTATGAAGGCATGGAGATGTTTTTCTAATCCAGCTTCTCAGAGCTGCTTAAAAAAAACAGTGTTGAAATCCTCAAAGGAAACCTGTAATTTTCTTTTTAGTTTGGCATTAGAATCATCTCCTCCCCTCCTTCACTCAATCATTTCTCACTGTTGTAGATTTACACAAGAACCAGCTACTATCAACATTTTGCTCAAATGGTCATATGTACTGGAAAGCAGCCTAGATTTTGCAGGGCAGGATTTTCCTCCTGTTTTACAGTAGCATTGGACAGTAAATAAAATGGAACACTAAGGCCTGATATCTCAAAGGCACCCATCTTGCTGCAGAAATATCCTCCAAAGCACATCCCTCAAGAGTCTCTAAGTCTTTGCACCACCACACACAATTGGAGGTCACTAACCCCCACAACCCATTTTCTCCAACTTCTGGATTGCATAAAAATGGGGGTTGGTTAGTTCAATTGGCTGAATGGCTGGTTTGCAAAGCAGAATCACATTAACAGCACGGAGTCAGTTCCAGCACCAAAACCAGCTGAGGTTACTCTGAAGGATTCTCTTTCTCAACCTCTCCTTTTACCTGGGGCATAGTGACCCTTAGGTTAAAGAAACACCAGTCACCTCTCTCTAATGAGAGCGTAGCTGTATAAAATATACAGTACCGAAACAGGCCATCAGTCCAGCTCAGTATTTATGCTCACAATTGAGCCTTCACTTCTCTTTCCGCATTTCAATCTACCATCTATTCCCTGTTCTCTCACATCCTTGTCTACTTTTCCTTAAATGCATCTACACCATTCGCATCCACCACACCTTGTGGTAGCCAGTCCCAAATTCTCACTACTATTTGGGTAAAGAGATTCCTTCTGAATTCCCTATTTGATTTCTTAGTGACTATATGACTGCCTATATTTATCCTCTTCCCCATAAAGGGAAATAATATCTCTGAATTCACCACTAAACTTTTCATGATTTTAACAGCCTCTACTAGGTCACCTATCAGATTGCTTTTTTTTTAAGAAGGGAAAGACGCAGACTCTCAATGATTTCTTAATATACATGTCCACACATTTGTGATGTTATCCTTATAAATAATCTCTGCAGCCTTTCCAATTCCTCTGTATCCTTTTGACAATAATGACAAACAGAGGTACATGCGGTACTCTAAGAACAATGTTCATTACTGGTTTAGCATGACTTTCCTGTTTTTCAATTCTAACCCTCTAGAAATGCAGCCCAGTGCCTGGCTTACTTTTCTTTGAAAAATGATCTTGCTAACCCATAGTTCAAGTTTTAATGACAAATGCATTGTAGACTAAAATCTCTTCTGACCCAAACATATCTCAGATTATCACCATCACCTTAAATTGGCAACATGAACAGACTGAGCAAATCATTGTTCCTTTAAAACTTTGCAATTATGAGAGTTGATAGCACAACTGAGAATTCATCTGATGCTCGAGTGTTTGTGGAGATTACTCTGTGTAAAGTTGAGCCTCCTTGACATTGTGATGGTGATAGGGAAAAAGCAGAGGAAATAATGAAGTGAATGAAGACCATTTCTGTGGTCAGGGTCATCTTAACTTCAGCCTTGGCTCCCTTGAGAAGTGAAAACATTTTTCCCTGATTGATCCATTCTGTAAACTCTTCCATACAGTAGGAAATACCTTCTTACTGCCCTTGCTGTCTAGCAGTTGATCCCTTCTTACTCTGACTTTAGCCTACAAACATGTTCATGAATGCAGTCATGAGTCTTGTTACATTTCTTCCCCCAGTACCTGAGTCTGCTGCTCCTTAAATTCACATTTTGCAGCTTGCCTTTAACTTTGTCAACAGCACTGAATTTCCTTTTGCCCCAGAAAGCAGTAACCCTACCAGGAGTGGTCCTACCATTTCAAACATGTTTGTCCAGCAGAACACATGTACATCCTGGGTAGGTGGTGGAGGAGTCACCTGAGCAGGCTGTGGTCCTGCTTTGCTGCGAGATTGCCAATGGGAAGAGTGGGAGGCATTTTTGTCAAGTTAGCCAAATCCGAGGTCAGCTTCTGCAGCACAGCTTGTGAACCTGAACCCTTCCTGATCCCCATTGGATCAGTAGATTGACCAACTGACCCACTGGAGATTATTTGAATGTTTCAAAATCACAGACTGGAACCGGGCAACCTCTTTCCTAACAGAACAACCTTTTCAAAAGCAGCCTTTTGGAAATGTTCAGCCTTGCTATTCAAATTTTGAATGGAAAGTTTAAATAAACATATATTCATGTCCAAATAGAATGATTTCACTTTCTTGGCAACACAGTTGTGAGTTCTACAGTGTGACAGATTCACCTGCAGGACAAATTGATTCAGTTCTTACATTCAGCAACTTCTACCAGCTCGCGTTGGGAGTGTTACTGTTTCGTGTGTTGTAGCTATACCAACTAGACAAGGACAAATGGAAGGGCCATGGTGTACTGCTCTTGTTATGTATAGAAACAGAGTGTTCCATAGTCACTGATAATATCATAATCTTTGACCAAAAAAAAAATATGTTGGTACCTAGGTGCGTGAGCTGCTGAGAAGTGCTGGGAGAGCAGAAGTACCAGGGTTGGGATAGCAAAGTACAGTGAGAGATGGAATGTCAGATTATTGGAGTGTATAGAAAACAGACAAGCTGCAGAACATTTAACAATGACTTTGAGATGGCTGGTTTATTCACACTTGCTGCAGTCTCTCGTTGATATGACACATGATACTTAACTCTGAAGCGATATTATGTGCTTACACATAGGGGTTAATTTTTAACCCATCTATGATGCTTGGGAAGGAACAGAGGGGAAGTAGTTATTAGAAAATGAAAACTCAAAGCTCCGTGTGTGAGTTAGCCCCCATTTTGATGGCAGTAAGTTGTGTTGTGTGTCTTGGAATGGTAGGCCCTTCCATTACAGCATGTAAACCAGGGTCCTGCTGTCCAGTTGCCAACCTGATTTAAGCTGGAAGATTGCCATATGGTCATCCCAGCCCTTGAGAAACTGTCTGTGAATCAGGAGGAGGAGGAGAGCATCCCTGACCCCAAGTAAACCTTCTAAGATTGCAGCTCTCCTCATGACCATGACTGTTACACCAATGCCACTGGTATCCCCCCCACCTCCAACAAGACCTCATACACCACCAAACATCACAGGTTCACCAACAATCATGCCCAAACCTCAGATCTTTTGCTGGGGTTTCTACCACTGACTTTGACTGCCTGACCGTATGTGACAGGAAAGTCAATTAAAAATAATAATCAGGTGTGCTGTTAAATTCCACAGGACTACAGTGTCACTGGGATATTTGTGTATTCCTCCTGCAGCGCAGCAGGGGCTTCTTCAGTTTTATTGTAAAGTTCTATTGCCCTATTTCTTGCACCTTGTTCTCTTTTTAAGCCCCTTTGTCATGTTTCTTCCCCTCCCTCAGATTTTTCGACCATTTTGCAAGTGAGAGTATTTGGATATATTATGTGGGACATATTTGGCAATACTGCCAGAAAGAGTTAGAGTCCTGGCTGAATTAAGTCAATGTAGGTGTTAAGGATGGCAAAACGTGTGTGGTGTAAATCTGTTTGGGTGTCACACAAAGTGGAGGATGGTAAGTTAGCAGCACAGTATTTCAATGAACCCAATTTCATGTTCTTTCAGAATGCAGATGTGGCTGCTGTACTCCTGACCTACTTTACGTTAGTGGCCTTTGTTAATACAGTCAACCATTATCTGTCTGTTTTGTCAACAGAATCCTAATATTCTCGCCAAAACTGCATGCTTCTTTGATTATGCTCGTGTGCATGGAGATAGTATCGAAGGGAAAGTCGCTATATAAATGCAAGCTATTGTTGTAATTGCCTCTTGATCCCACTTCTAATTTTCCTTGCTGCCATGTGGCTGTGTGCCTACCCCTGCCCAGCTCTCCCTGTGACTGTGCATCTGTGATCAGGCTCACCATATGGAGAATCACAGAGTCAGGTGCTGGCACTTTGTCGTGTAGTGTGCTGGAATTCCCACATTGACGGCCAACACAGCAGGACTACAAGAAGCACTTTTTGTGCTGAGCGTGGATCTGCTGCATATGTGTGGGACTGGCAAACAGAACATTGAATCTCTGCTGTGTCTGATGTTCAGTACAACTTCCTCCAGAAGGCAATTTGCCAGTTTTAATTGGAAAATAAAGCAATGAATTCACTCCCTGTGTAACAGAAAAATGTGCTCATTGTATTATAATTATTGCTTTAAAGACAGTAGTTATGATATTTGTGCAAATATGCGTTCACTTTCTACCTTAATACTACCTCAAGCAATGTTGGAATCCATTTAAAGCAGAGATGAGTACGGAGGAAAACAATGTTTCTTGGAGAGGTCTCAGGGTTGGTAGCGCTTTTTTTACGACAAAGAACAAAATCATAGAATCCAAACAGTGTGGAAGCAGGCCATTCAGCCCACACTGACTGTTCAAAGAGCTTCCCACCCAGTCCCTGTAAGCCTGCATTTACTATGTCTAGTCCATCTAGTCTGCATATCCCTGGATACTATGGGCAATTTAGCATGGCCAATCCACCTAACCCACACACCTTTGGACTGCGGGAGGAAACCAGAGCACCTGGAGGAAACCCATATTGACACAGGGTGAATGTGCAAACTCTATGCGGGTAGTTGCCCAAGGGTGGAATCAAACCCAGGTCCCTGGTGATGTGAGGTAGCAGTGTTAACCACTGAGCCACCTTGCCACCCTAGCTTGAAGAAAATACAAATGGTATTAAGTATTCGTCAGTCACTATTACTGAGCTTCTGGAACAAATCAGATTGATAACTTTAGGCCATTCACCTGAGCTGGTTGTGTAAGTGGTTGTAGATAATGACTGCAATTAGCTTTTAGATTTGAGATGTTGAAGCTGTTTGAGGATAGGGGTTGCGGGACACAGAAACAGCCATTCTGAAATAACGAAGGCATCACCCAAACAATGACAGGAAGACTCATGCAATCCTGTGGCTCATTCGCAGTCAGAATCCTTCCATGCTATACAGGTCTTCACACACAGAGTGAACTTAACATCAAACTGTGTTAACCACATTTTCTAATCGCTGCTTTCCAACATTTCTCATCAATTTGTACAGCCAACACTCTGATTACATTATCTTACATATTTCTAAATTTTTGTGCAGTAATTTTCATAGTGCCCTTTATATCATCTCTTTTACAACTCAGTTGTAAAAACAACTACTAACAAACCAGAGTGGAAATAATTGGCTTCCTTTAATGGGTCAATCATTATCATAGAAAGGCAACAGATGGACAACCTCGATTTTTGAAATATATTGAAAAATCAAAGTGATATTGAAAAATCAAAGTGATATTGTAAAATGTTCCAGTACGCAGACAGTGACCATTCTATCTATTTGGAACAGTGTCATAAGAGTGCCACTTTGATGAATGTCAGACTTAATGAGCAAAATGAGTCTTTGTGGATTCTGTTATTTTCTACTTACCCCACATTGTCACTTTCTAATAAGAGAAGATAGAAGTTATTGGGATCATGGTAATAAAATCTTGGCCCGTCTACAATTGAGCATTTTATTAATTCACACATTGTGATCAATTACCTGACGAGCTAGAGAGTTTTGTTGGAAATACAAGTTAGTGACACAAATCATTCAGCAACATTCTTCTGCCCGCTGTTCTAGTAGTGCTGTTAACTAGCTTATCCTAAATAGATTAATGTCACTGTCAATATAACAAAGAGATATCATAAAAGCATTTGTTCATTAATAGTGTCAGTTTCCAAACTCTGGTCATATTAGGTCAATACTAATCATTCAATTCTCATCTGAAAGATAGGTAGGATGGACGGGACTGATTAAACTCAGCAGGTAGAAGACTGGGTGATCTCAGGTAATGTACAATCAGTCCTTAAATACTGGTAAGTTCATATTACAGGTGAAACCAAGCACTTTCATCCTCAACCTCACCTGTAGGAAATCAATTTTAAGCATTGCTGGCAGCAATGACTCTTTTATCTATACAGCCAACAACATCTTTAATTACTCACTCGGCTGTCTGGGTTCTTTTTGTAATTATACTCTATAGTACTACATGGGACAGGAACAGCTGGCACAGCACTGGAAGATGGGAGCCTTCAACCAAGACAGTGGGAAATGGCTATCCTTGGAATAATCTGTAACTGTTTTTCTTACAGGTCATCAATCCGGTCCCAAACTTTCCAGGGCAGATGACACTTAATGAACAGCCACTTCTTGTGTGTGGTGGTGATGGATTTACACACTCAAACTTTGATGGCTGCACAGAATCTGCTTTAAGAATCTTGGATGTGTTCAAATGTCATTTTTGAAAGTCTGCATCTTGCAATTCTGAATAGTTTGCTTTGTCTCAGGTCTCAATCATTATTGAAGGGCTGCTCAGTGTGTGGATAGAATCAATAGCTTGCCCCCAAACCCCCTGCCCCTAACTCCCAAGAGAATTTGGTATATACATCATATTTACATCTGAGCCATAAAATAATGGGAACATATGTTAGACGTTTGTCATTAGGATCTAGGGAGACAGTGCTAAGTGGACTAAGAAATTGACTATTAACAGTCGTAATGCAAGGAAGTAGTTGATGATTTTGTGTGTAGTGACTATAGTTGTTACTCACAGAAAATCTACCCGTCAGTCAAATTTCACACTACATGCTCCATGTATCAAAACCATTTTAAGTGTCAAAACTCCAAATCCAGACACCTGGCAGTCATCATACAAATCTAACTTTTTTTTTAAGATTTGGTTTATTTTCCACAAAAGTAAATGTCCTCTATATGGATTTGTTAAACATATGGCAATCAGGGGTGTGGAGGATAATGCATTTGTTTCCTTTCTTCAGCACAGTCACAGTGACTGGCATCCAGTCCACGCTCATCAGGAGAGCTGAAGACTATTCCTATCAGGGTTGTCTCAGGGGAGGGGGAGGTACAGAACCACCCTTCAGCTTTCTCTCAGCTGGTGCCCGGCATTGGATTCTTCTCACTGAGCCTAGCTTTGGAAACTCAGGGGAAACTGTGCAGTTACATGCACTGTGCCTGGTGGCACGCACTATTCACGTAGGTAGCATCTGAATTGGCTGCCTCCACGTTTGCCAATCCTATGAAGGATGTTGGACAGGCTTCACCCAAACAGTGGGCCAGCAACCCAGGAATCTCAGCGGTACGAGTGGGAAAAGTGAGTTCTGCGCAGCTGATCCGAGTCCCCTCCTGCCCGCGGAATACTTTCCAGCTGCGGGAATGTGTCCAGGAGCTGCCCCATTACTTCTGTCCTTCTCTCCGTCCCAACCATCCTCCAGCACTTCTGAGGCTGTAGTCACCCATCCAGGAAAGCTCAGTCTATAATGAGCACAGTATGACCCCCCTCACAACAAGAAGAATGGGAGAAAAGTTAGCTTTGTTAACACGACATTTCAGTATGTTCAAATATTAACCTTGCACATTTCACAAGCACCCATTCCAAATCGTCAGGACAAATGTGAACATTACTTACATAATTAATGTTGCTTGCTGGGTGACCAGAGGTAGAATGTTTGCTCTTGCCTCCACTCCTACTATATCCGTATCTGTCACTGTCTGCTACTAGTTTTGCTAATGCAGCCAAACATTGAAGGTTGAGGCTAGACTTCAGTAAATAAGAATATAATTGGAAACTAATCACCAGAATCAAGCACCGAGCATTATAGAATTATAACACACACCACAGCAAATGAAAAACAGATCTGTATTCCCACCTGAATGGTGGCCATTTCAAATGTTGCTATCTGCTTTTGAAAATAAAATGAATTTTATGGTAACATTACCGTGCTTTCAGCATTCTACAGGCAATCCAGTTTCTTAACTAATATATCCAGAAGTTATAAAAAGTGCTCCATTCAATACTCAAATTCACCTTTGAATTGGAGCCATCCAGAATGTTCTCTTTGCATGATGTGCTCATTGACAAATCCTCTAATGGAATCTCTAAATCTGCCGATCTTCACATCTCAATGTACGTGATAGGATTCATACACCTCTACAGGCTTTATGATTGACCTTCTTAACAATCTCATCATTGTTAATTATAAACGCCTTGTGCAGCTTGACACTGCAATAGGACACATCAAAGCTACCCTGAGGGATAGCAACTACCCCCGTCAGATCATTGCTAACTGTGTATTGCGTATATGAATGGGCCTAAGTCTGCCACTTTCAAAGCTAAGAAGTGGTCCTTTTACCTGAAAATAACCTGGAAGGCTAAAGTATCTCAGAAATTAGAAAGCAGTTGAAGCTGGCCATTACATGCTGCCAAAATGCAGCATTAATGTGAATGGTATTTGGCACTAACAATTTGCTACTGCCAAGCCAAAAACGACATTTCGCCTGCCACGCAATGAGTGAAGGTGGTGCATGAAGATCAGCGCTCATGTGATGCCAGGTACATGGTATCTCACAATGATTAGTAGAGCATATCAAACAGCATTGCCCCTGGGCTGGTCACACATTGCAGAGTACTGATCGTACTCAATAATCCCATGGTTGAAAATCTGAGAACATAACATCTGACATTAGTTGTGATTCTGCAAATGGACAATACTTGCTGAACAACCCCACATGCTAAGAATTGCATTAACACCAAATTTAAAACTAATAGTCTGGCTCACAATGTAGCTCACAGATGCTTGCTAGAAGCTATGCATAATCATATGCAGGGACCAGTCCTCCGGATGAAAAATAAATTTGTCCAAACATCGTGCTATTTTAATGAAACTAAAGTGGATGGACAGTAGTTTCCTGGTGCATTCACCATGGCAAACCCTCAACCAATCGTAGCCCATTTGCCTACTAATCAAAATTCTGTTCTCATGGAGTATAATTCTCGTTTCCCCTTTAATATTCTTGTGTCTGTCCGGATGAGTGAAAAATGACAAGTTTTGACTGTATGCCTGTTTATTCAGGAATACTCAAATTCTGTACTACCAAGTGACTATTAAAAAAAATTACTTAGCATACAAACTGTAAAGGAAGTACAACACTAACTTATTTTTTAAGACCCCACAGTTGGGTTCTGTATGAGTAAAACTGGCCCTGCTTGTAATGACTATGAAACTATTGCACACCAGTATTTAGTGATCTCGATAAGGATCTGAAGGGAACATTGAAATCTGCTGCCCACGCTGTATCCCAAAAGACAGCAGGTTTCCTCAGGCACATTTTGCGATTTTGCAAATCCTGCTGAGAACTAGTATTTGAATTCCTCTGTGTAACATTTGCCAGTAATGTAAATAGTTATAGATACTCAGTCGTCATTCACAGTATGATAAAACTTCAGCTGAGTAACTGATGAATGACGACCAAATAAACTTGTCTTTTTTTAAAAAAAAATCTTTCAATTAGAAACAAGTCCCATGGTTGTTTTCTGTGTGCCAAACTCTGATGTTGAGAGTCGTTCGATATAGCTGAAAACAGGTTTGAATAACTAAACTAAAATACTAATCTCCTTTATACAATGATGTGAATTTTTTTGATTTTCCGTGTTTGTTAAACATCTTTCCATTCATCTTCCGTGTTTGCTTTGTAATAATCTTTTTATTCTGTTGCACTTTTGTTTTTTTTCTGTATACATGCCATGTTTTTAAACATCTGGTTCCTTTTCCATTTATTATTGATATAATTTTGCTTCATGCCACCAGATCTAAGCTTCAAAATTATCTTTGATTTTAAATGTTCTCCAACTTGTCCCCTTCTGTATGAGCTCTGAGACAACCATCTGTTCAGGTGGTTGTAAAAAAATACTTCTCTGGGACTATTTGAGGAGGAGCACAGAGTGTTCCTACTGCCCAGGCCAGCATTTCTCCCTTTGCCCAAAACGATTTGGCTCTTCCAACTGGGGTTTGTGGTATCTTTCTGTGCACAAATTGGTTGATCTTATAGTAGTAAGTACACTTCAAAAGGAATCCAGTGGATGTGAAGAGTTTTCGGACATTTTGAGGGTTTACTAAGATGCAATCTCTACTAAGGAATGGTTTCAATTACAGTCGAAGTTGATAACAGTTAGAATGTCAGGAAATGGCTGATTCTTAAACAAATCATATAGGTACCTCGGATCTTTGATCTTCCTTCATGCTCACTGCACCAGTTTCATAAAATCCCTACAGTATGGAAGTAGGCCATTCGGCCCATTGAGTTCACACTGACCTCAAAGAGCTTCCCACCCACACCCACCCCCACCCCCTTGCCCTATCCCCGTAACCCTGCATTTACCAATGGTTAGTCCATCTAGTCTGCATATCCCTGAACACTATGGGCAATTTTGCATAGCCAATCCAGTCTAACCCGCACATCTTTGGACTGTGAGAGGAAACCGGAGCACCAGGAGGAAACCCACACAGGCACAGGGATAATGTGCAAACTCCACACAGACAGTCGCGAGGGTGGAATTGAGTCTGGGTCCCTAGCGCTGTAAGGCAAAAGGGCTAACCACTGAGCTGCCCCATAGTTTGGATTTAGGCTCATCACTTTAAAGGATGTTCTGTCAAAATACTCTCCCCATTTTTTGACTCCTCAGACTGCCAATAGAGGTATCCTGATACTGAAACACAGTTCATTGCCTATCCACATCAACCTATATCCCTTGAATAAACAAAAGAGAAAGATTAGGTGTATTAAATTTCAGGCTAACAAGACCAGCATTTATTGCCCATCCCTTGCTGCTCTGAGGAGGTTGGCATGGTACCACTGTCAAGCTTGCTGAGCCACTTCAAAGTCAACTGGTTGATGTTGTACTGGAGTCACATACAGGCCAGATTGCATAAGGAGGGCAGGTTTTATTCCGTGACAACCATTGGTGAAGCAACTGACATTTCTTGATGCCAACAATTTTATTTACCAACTTTTTAAATAGAAGTAAAGGGCGCCATGTGAATTCAGGTCTGGGTTCCAGGTCACTAATCAAATAACGTAACCGCTACATTACTGTAGCCTTTCCAATGTTGTTATTGGAAGATAGTTGACAGTTCAATGAATGATATTTCATTTGCATTGAGGGTGGGCAGAGAAACTGGAAAGTTTTGACACTGTCTGTGGTCTGTGCTGTGAAGCTTTATCATTCACCAGTGGTGGAAGAGTCCAAATCAAATTTGCAACTACAAACAACTGATCCCAAGGCAAGTTAGCCACCAGCTGAGCAATTCAAACAGTACAGTCAAAACCAATATTTAAAGGACAGAGGCCACCCACACCACAATGAGGTAACTGGAATTTGGTAGAAATGAATACAAACTTCCCTTATTCATTTGGTGTTAAATGCACAGCTCTTGATGCAGATCCCTGCATCAAGCCACTGCTAATTCACAGTTGATAAGTGGTCAGAATTTGCTGTTGGAAACTGTATGAGCTGTACATTTAACCATTAACTTCACACAGCAATTGAAGCTTTTCACATAGTACCCTTGGTCTAAGGAAGGGAAAATCTGTCGGCCGCAAAGTACTGAGTTCTGTGATTTCAAGCAAGTAGGAAGTAAGAACAGCAGTAGGCCATTCAGCCCTTTGAGCCTGCTCCACCATTCTAGATCATGGCTGAACATCTACTTCAATATCATATTCTCACATCCCTTAATGTTATTAATAATGAGAAATCTATTAATTTCTCTCTCAAACTTACACAGCCCTCTGAGTTTTTACTCATCTCTGTCCTAAATGGCTGGTCTTTTATTCTGAGACTGTGATGGGTCTCACAGTCAATTGGTTGACCGGCACAAACATACAATGATGGGATTCATGACCTTTGAAAAACAAAACCATTGCCTTGAGGAAATTTAAGAAACTCAGTATGAACTGAGGTCAACTTATTAGTTCGAAACTTGGCTGAAAATACAATGTGCAACTGGTGCAACTTGGTAGGTGCTCCACGCGGTTCAGCACTCAGATATTAACCATCTAATTAAAAGTAAGGGCCCAACATTAGTAAATAGATTGATAAAAAGATGTGGTAAGCTTGCTCACCTTTATTAATATGATGTGGTCTATGGTAAGTTGCAACATTTTTGTTTCACATCGCTTCCTTCTTTAATGATCTGTCATTCCACAAGACTTTTACAGAATGTACTTGCCAATGAACCAGAATGTAGAAGCTTAAGTGCACCAGGCCTTGGATGGTCTGTGCCCAGACAATGGGATACAGATCTTTGTCTGGCCATCACTAAAAACAGCTGAAGCCTGATCAGTGACACTTCTGTTTATGCATTAACAACCAGCTCTTAAAGGGCCTAGGAACAGGCAACTTTGTTCATTTAGAAATCTAATGAATGGTGTTTGGCCAAAACAGAGAAGAAAATATATTCACCACATGAAGTAGGTGGGTAAGGAGCCATAGTTCACAAGGGACTACAGGCATGTCTCTTCACTACAGAAAGACAATTGGTTATTGCAAAGCTTAAAGATAACAACTGCATAGGAATATGGTAAAGGGAAGACACAGTACCTTCACGAACTACCAAAGCCACTACAGGGATTAAACCCATACTGTTCCACCACACTTTAGTCATCTAACTAACTCAGTTAACCAAATGGCCCTCCATGCGTATGTATATGTGCATATATAGCCTGACTGGAAATTGCAATTTTTTTGGCTATGTTAAGTGGGAAAGTGATTGAATGTCTGAACAACAAAAACAGCTCACTATTTCAGGCAGAAATTCCTGTTCATCTTGGAATGGCCAAGACTTTGCAACCAAATGAGAATGAACAATGCTTACTGTTCACTGGACTGACCCTTAGCCATACACCTATAGTGGGCTTTTGCAATGAAATGTACGAT